AAGTATAACAATATACCTGATAATAACTGGGACAGCTGAAAGGTAAAGTTTCTACAATAACATCAACACCAGAGGTTGAAGAAAGAGTTGTAAACACTGACCATATTTGTTCTTATCTCAAAACCAGCACTTGCTGGAACACACAGCAAGCAGAAAATAAAGCTCAAGTGTGGAAAAAACTAAAACCATATTGTCATCATTACAGAGTTTTGAAGAACTTTTAATCTAACCTATTTTGTCCACAAATTTCCCCCAGATCCAAGATGTCAAAAAAGAACCTGGATATAAATTTAGAGTTCACACACACACACTTGAGAACAAACAATTTAAGTGTTCAAAACAAAGACACAAGCAGGATGATTTGAGACAAGTCAAGCCCATCCTGGTTAAAAAATGAAAGCAAGCACTGCCACCATCACTAGGACCACAAGATCCAAAACCTACAATTTCACTCCATGAAATGATGAGAACCATGAGCTGAACTGAAGCAATTTTGTCAGATTCAGATGCCTAACTTCTGTGCTGCGCCCAGCTCACTCAGTAGCTTGTAAACAGCTACCATTTTGCATTTACTGGTGTTTATGCCTTGAGCTTCACTCTACCATTTTTGTGCCCATAGCATAACAGCTTTCACAATGTCAGACCAGCACACTAACTACTGATGAGTTTTAAACAGTCTTTAAACTCATGAGCAGAGTCGTTTTAGATTAAAACCCCACCATCATTCAAAAAAAAATCATCCCACACCAAGCCTCTCCACCAAATTAATTACATTTAAAACATCAGTTGGCCACTCTAGCCCACACATTTAGCGGTCTGCGACAATAAAGTGAAACTAAAACATTGCATCAAGAAGGAGACACTTACAGCTTGAAAAATGTTGTGCCCAGCTGCAGCAGCAGCACGTGGGGCAGCCTGTGCTCATGTACAATGAGAACCCCTTCCACTGTCCGCCTCATGCCGATCTTGTCAAACTCTTCCCTCATGCGCTGAAACCGAGCTGCCACCGAACTGTCCTTCTCATACAGGGGCTCCTTTGTGCCAAACGTGTAGTTTGTCAGAGGATACCTGCAGGGCGGGAGGAAAACACACAACTGCATAACTAGAAAGCTAGATTTAAATCATTGTGATACAGCATCCACCCAGGGGCAGGTCCTTCTGGGTTAGTTCTTGTCTGCAACTTGAGTTACAGGGGCTCAGTCACACAACGACCTGAGCTATGTTACACACAAGTGCACAGCCCTGCTGCTCAACACACCACTGTGGTGCTCATTCAGAAGAGGCCCAGAAGAACCAGCAGCCAGTGTTAGTCAACAGCCACCCTCTTTGATCTCACACCGCAGAGAAAAGGCAGCTGAGGGCCGAGAGGGGCTGGGAAAGGGGCTGGAGAGAAAAGGAAGGAAGGAAGCTGCACTGGACAGTGTTTTTTCTGCCCAAGAACACAACTGTTAGAAGTGGTTTTGTTTTGAAGTGGGAAATCAGACATCTGGATCACAGAAGAGGAGAAGAGCTGAGAGTCTAAGTGCAGGGCAGGGAGCCCAGGGTAAGATCAAGAATTGGAGCAGATCACTCTGCTGGGCCAGGTGCTCTGTGTTCTCTAGTTCTCTCTCTTGAGAGTCTCTAAGTGCAGGGCAGGGAGCCCGGGGTAAGATCAAGAATTGGAGCAGATCACTCTGCTGGGCCAGGTGCTCTGTGTTCTCTAGTTCTCTCCTTGAGTTCTCTACAGTGAACTCAAGAGATTTCTCCAGGGAAGAGAGACTGCGAAGAGTCAGAAAAGAAAGGAAAGGTTAGGCAAGAAACCAGTCTGCCCTAGAGAGCTCAGAGGGCAACAGGAGAATATTATTGTACAACAAAATCCAAGTAACACAGAGATCCGATAGCACAAGGCCTGGAGGGAAGACAGGATCATCCAGCTAAGTCAAAAAGGGAGAGGAAAATGGGTTCTGGGCAGAGCAGCAACGAATGATCACTGCGGTTTTATTGACTTGTGGCACACAGCAACCAAACTGCCAGAGTAAATGACTGATTTCATAGGGAATGTTTTCCTTGAGATGCATCTCCTCGTGTATTCTTCCCCCAGTATTTAATCATGTCAAATTTAAGTAGTATTCACTCCTCGTGCTCTCTCAAGTTTTTGCTCCCACCCCTCCAATTTTCCTCATGTTTGAGTGGTGAAATCACAAACCAGTTACAGTTATCAGAGCCCTTTCTCATGCACATAAGTGAGTCAAAATTCCTCACTGCAGATACCTTTAATAATGAGCTCCTCACCCTTTCCCTTATTATTTAGAATAATTTCAAATTCTAAATACACAGATAGCTTTATTAATAATCCACTAGGCTCATGTGAGTACATTGGTCTGCACATCAAACCCCTTAGCCTATACTTTAAAAAAGTAAGTACAGTGATAACACAGCTTCTGCTGAGCCTCTTCTTCTGAAACACTATAAAAATATTCCAACCTCTGAAGTCCATATTTGAGCTTCCACAACACATGAGCTATAAAAAAATACACACAGGAGTCTGTGGTTGATTGCTAAGATTCAATAACAGTTACAGTTAACATTCGCTGTTTCTCCAACTTGTCAGATGTACTCAGCAAAGAGCGCATCAATCTGAGCTTACTGGAATAAGCTAAAGTATGGGGCTTCTCACATAAAACACGCAAATATTTATTAGCAAATAGTTTGCATCTATGACAGAAGTAAAATTTTCTCTGGTAGCAACCATTCCAAGTTTAAGTTAAAATACCTGCACCAGACAACCAGCAAACACCAGGCACACCTAACCACATCCCCCGACTGCACAGGGCCGCCCCAAAGCCCACAACTCTGCCGCCAAATGAAAATGTCCATGAGGCAGCACACGAAAAGAGAAGCGCAGCCGATATTCACCGTGTCTAAGCATTCCCTAACTGTGGTATTTGCGAAGTTTCTGGCCTGATGCTGTTTCTATACTAGAGCACGCACACCGAATCCCGCACATTCCCTCATCGCTGCAGGCTTTCAGCAGCCACAATATTCTACACGGGACTTCTCGCAACTTCACAGCGCGCCCTCGTAGGGGAGCGCAGACCCCTCGCCGGCAACCGGGCTCTTCCACCGCTTTCCCCTCAGCTCCCCGCACGGTCCGGGCCCTGGGCGGCCCTTGCGCGGCTGCTGCTAAGGGAAAAATCTCCCGCAGGCTGCCCAAGGGGGTGTTCACGGAGCGGGGAAGGGATCGGGACGGGAGCAGGGCCCGGGCAGGCCCGAGGCGGCGCTCACAGGTTGA